CCAACTTATAGCTAGACCAACTCCCGCTCATTGTCAGCACCACTGGGATGTCTTTGCCATTTCTTTGCGAGAACTTTTTGGGCACTAACACCTGGTTGGGAGACTACCTTGGAACGGATAGCATCTAAAATCATACTGAAACCCCCACCAGGTGGGAGAAGTTAACTCTATGCTGCCCACAAGCACGTAGACCCCAGACTGGTTTGAACCAGAAGGCTGATGATGCTAACTCCCACTTACCTCCCCACCAACCAATCAGAAGAATGTCCACCACCTGATCATGCCCTCCTCTTTGAACCATTACTGTAAAACTCCTCACTTCCCCCTCCAGGTTGGGACACACAGGTTTGAGGGCATGAGTCTGCTGTGGCCCCCTTTGCCTGGCAAAGCAATAAAGCTATTCTTTTCTACTTCACCCAAAAAAACAAAAACAAACAACAACAAAATAAACCAATTTACCATAGCATCAGAATATCAAGTACTTAGGACTAAATCTAACAAAAGATGTGCAAGCTGTTTATGCAGAAAATGATAAAATGCTATTGAGAGAATTGAAGAAGACATAAACAAATGGTGAGATATTTGTAGTTTGGAAAACTCAATACTGTAAAAATGTTAATTCTCCCCAAATTGATCTACAAATTCAATGCAATATCAATCAAAATCCCTATTATGTTCATTTTTTCTTTAAGAAAATAATAAGCTGAGTCTAAAATTTATACAGAATGCAAAAGGTCAAGAATAGCTAAGACATTCTTAAAAAGAACAAGGTGGGAAAATTGTTCTTGCAGTTATCAAGATACATTTGAAAGCTGAGTATGACATTGACATGGAGAGAGAAGCAGAGCAATGAAACAGAATCTAGAGTGCAGAAAGAAACCCACATGTATATGGGCATTTGATTTGTGACAAAGGTGACAGTGCAGTTTAGTGGGGAAAGGACAGTCTTTTCAGTAGACAGTGCTGGAACAACGGGGTGTGTCCATGCGGGGGAGTGGAAACAAGTATGATGGCAATTTCACATCACAGAAACAATTCCAGGCGGATATAAACTGAAATATGAAAGTAAACTAAAAAAGCCTTTAGTAGATAGTAGTATACGGTAATGCTTGTATGACCTCAAGTTGAAAAAATATTCATCTGGGCACACATCCACAAAAAAACACTAACCATAAAGGACATGGCAGGACTTCCCTGGTGGCGCAGTGGTTAAGAATCCACCTGCCAATGCAGGGGACACGGGTTCGAGCCCTGGTCTGGGAAGATCCCACATGCTGCGGAGCAACTAAGGCCATGCCCCACAACTACTGAGCCTGCGCTCTAGAGTCTGTGAGCCACAACTACTGAGCCCAAATACCACAACTACTGAAGCCCAGGGGCCTAGAGCCCGTGCTCTGCAACAAGAGAAGCCACTGCAGTGAGAAGCCCACGCACCACAACGAAGAGTAGACCCCGCTCACCACAACTAGAGAAAGCCCGCGCCCAGCAACAAAGACCCAACGCAGCCAAAAATAAATATATAAATAAATAAATTTTCAAAAAGAAAAAGAACCAAAGGGAAACTTCTAGACATGAAAAAAGTGTAACTATTGAAATGAAAACTCAATAGATCCTCTTCCTCTTCCTTTTCTTCTTCCCCTCCTAAACAATTCATGCAAAAGCCATGGGGGTGGGGCTCAACATCTGCTCAGTGGGTAGGTACAGGTGGAAGCCACAGAAAGTCAGAGTTGGGTGAGGAGGCAGTTGTGAGGATAAGTACACTTGACACTTAACTGCACATGGCAGTTATTATTATTGTCGTTATTACAGTTGTTACAAAGGAAATGTTGAGAGATGGCAGAGCAACCACCAGTCACATCCTCTGGGCCCCACCTCTGATTCCAGCTGCATCTGAGGCCTCACCCACTTTGTGCTGACAGCTTTCTTGCTTTAACTATACAATACATATCACTCCTTTTCTGCCCTGGGGCTTTCCAGTGCCCTGGGTGAGACGCCAATGGAAGTGCACTTGGAATGCCCACATGCACAGCCTAGAAGTGGGAGATGCATCACCTCCTGGGGCAGCCCTTAGTGGGGGATGGAAGCTGATGGGTAAATGCTTCTCACTATCAGTCCTCAAGTGGACAATTCTGAGAGACATTTTTTCACTCCGCAGATGGTTCCAGTGGGGTCAAGCGCCAGTTGCCCACAGCTCAACCTTATACCTTGTTCTGGCTTTTCCTCCAGTCCCTCATGCCTGTTCCCTAGTGTCCCTTCTGTTCCACACAAGGCCTTTTCTCAGGCTCTGCTTTCCAGACTAGCTCAGGATAAGACTATCAGAAGGCCCTAGAAAGCAGCCCTGGGAAATGGAATTCCTCCCAGGATGAATGGCAATAAGGACTCTGTTGCCGGTGGTAAGGGGAGTGGAGATAATCCTTACATGCCATAGCTTCACAATTACTAAGACTTTCCCCTGCAGTGGGGAAAGGAGCAGAGGTAGATAATGAAGCACTAGGTTATGCAATAGTTCTAGCACTTGAAAGGCATGAGGCAATAGTAATTATATGGATTGTGGAGTTGGCTGGCTTCTACTAACTGCTTTAGAAGCTTTGCAAGAGAAAATGAGAGGCTGTCAATTCAGGGCATGCTGTGAAACCCAGGGGCATTCTGGACTTCAAGACCTCAAAAGGTCTTCATAGGGGACTTCCCTGGTGGTCCAGTGGGTAAGACTCCACACTCCCAATGCAGGGGGCCTGGGTTCGATCCCTGGTTGGGGAACTAGATCCTGCATGCATGCCACAATGAAGAAGCAACTAAGACCCAGTGCAGCCTGCATACATACATACATACATAAAAAAATAAGGTCATAATAGGATCAAATCCAGTTACTGGTATGCTCATTAATTTGCTAGCCCCTCCCCACCCCTTTCCTTCTCTATTTCACTCTCCCTGGTCCCTCATATAAACAACCTGCACCAAGTCCTTGCCTCAGGCTCTGCTTCGTGATTAAGACACGAAGAAGCAACAGTGGCCAAGTCACTAAGTTTATAACCTCAAAGACTTAATGATTTCTAAGGGGAGCAGCCAATTAGTATGACTCAAGCTAAGCATGATCAATCATACTATGAATAGCTAGTCATTTTTTTAGTTCTTACTTTGTGCCCAGCCCTGTTCCAAACCTTTTACATCCATTACCTGAGTTCATTCTCACAGCAGCTCCATGATGTAGGTATTATTTCTCTCTCTCCCCCTCCTCTCCCCCACCCTCTCAAATGAGGAAACTGAAGCCCAGGGAGTTTATGTAACTTACGCAGAGTCACACAGTTAGCACAGGACTGAACCTGGATTCAGCTCAGTCTGACTCCACAGCCCCCACACTCTTAGCCTCTGTGATATACCGATTTCTTCCAAATAACAATATCAACAGAGAAAGGGGGGAAATTATGTTCATGAATGCTGCTTTAGGCAACAAAATCCTCAAATTCATCTGGACCTGTGTGCACAATATCCTTTCCCACCCTGAAGATGCATTCCCACAGCCAGTGCTGCTGCTGTTCTTTGCTGGGATTTAAGTCCCAGTTCAACCACTTACCAAGCTAGGGATGACCCTGAGAAATTATCCCATTTAAGCCTAAATTCCCTTACCTGTAAAAGCAAGTTAATAATACTGGCCTTGTAGGTGTTCCACAGATTTAGTGTCTAATAGCTAATAGCTATGATTTTGCTAGCCAAAGGTCCATTGTTGGGAACAGAGAAAAAGAACAGAGCAGAACAATTTTGATCAAGTTATTTTGTTTGTATGGGACCCAAGAAATGCCTCTTGGGTTTACTGGACTTAACTTATAACTCCTAGGATAAGAGATTCAAACCAGAAATAATTTTGTACCCTGAAGTGGGCTGAATGGTGGCTCCCCAAAAAGATAAGTCCTAACTCCTGGAACCTGTGAATATCACCTTATTTGGAAAAAGTGTCTTTGCAGATGTAATTAATAAGTTAAAGATCTCAAGATGAGGTCAACCTGGATTGACCTAAATCTGCTGACCAGTGTCTTTATAAGAGAAAGGCAGAGGGAGAGAAGGCCACATGAAGATGAGGCAGAGATTGGAGAGGTGCTGCCACAAGCCAAGAAACACCAGGAGCCACCAGAAACTGGAAGCGGCAAGTGAGACTTCTCCCCCAGAGCCTTTGGAGGGAGTGCAGCCCTGCTGGCACCTTGACTTTGGATTTCTGACCTCTGGAACCGTAAGAAAATACATTTCTGTTGTTTTAAGCCCCCAGTTTGTGGTAATTTGTTACAGCAGTCCTAGGAAACTAATCTACTTCTCTCTTCTCCCCCAAGTCAACTCTGCTGCTGTTCTCTTGACAGAGAGCTGATGGGAAATGCAGCATATAAAGGCATGCCTTTGACATGACCTAAATCTTGATGACTGAGAAAGTCCATGGAAATCAATATAAATAATTTTGCAGGCTTCCAAAAGCTGAGAGCAAATTTTAATGGCAATGGATAATAAATGTGTACTTGTTGAGTAATCTTGCCTTCCTCCAATGGTGACTGCAGGTGCCATTTTCTTCAGACACCTTTTCAAGGTCACCAGTTTTTGTTTTAGAATTTAGACATGGCTTTTGCTCTGTGTGTCTGCTTCTGAACCTTTAATGGGTATGGGGATGGGTAGATGATTGTTGTAGCACTTCCAGGATGCACTTATGAAGAGCATAGTGGTTGAACAATTATTCTTTATTAAATGGTGTGGTCATGGGGGAAATGGTCCATGCCTAAAAATAGCAAAAGCATTTAAAAACTGTCACTAGTCAGGATCCTATCTGACAAACCTGTTGTCTGATGACAGGATTGGATGTACCTGAAAGGGCCAAAGGAATAGTGTTTAAACATGAAAAGCAGTGATTCACTTTAGGTAACCAGGTGAAACCTTTTTAAGTGTCAATCAGGTTTGCTTTTTCGTTATGTAAATCAGCTTTATAAAAGCATCTTACCCTGAGATGTAGTTTCTATCTTTAAATCTCAGAAGATGAGTTCAGAATAGACATATCCAGTTTTACAATCATTACAGGTTTCTATAATATAAAAGAGAAAATAATTCAGTAAACTTAGGATATATATCCATAGAAGCTCTTTAAAAATTCTATTTTAATAGCTGGGTGGCCTGACAGAACCAAGTATTAACTTTTTTTTTCCTGGACTATATTAAATGATTTATTCTTGAAAAGTTTTTAGAAGTGCACCTGCGTCCTTCTCTCTGGATTTTTTATATGATATTCTCCCCACCACATCCTTCTTTCCTCCGCATCTACCCATCTCCTGATGAAATTTGTTAGGAGCCGTGGTACTGATTGCTATTGGTTTCCTAGGGTATGCATGTTGCCCCCATTCATCCCATCCTTGGGTTCCTAAAGCCTAGGAGTATGGTGACCTCACAGAGACTACTCTCCCATTTCGATAGCATCCTTTATCCCAAACGGTGGCTCACCCTGATCTCTCGGTGCCACCTCCTGGAACATCGGGGTGGCATAATGTATCTCCTGAGAGTATTCAGTCCCTGGGTAAAAGACAAGAAATAGAGTTATTGGGCCTATAATCCAAATCTCTGGTCACTTGAGGGCAGTGGCTTGCCAGCTACCCTCACAATGTCATGTCACATCTGGACTTTGCAGAGAGTACTTACCATCTCAGGCTTTGGAAACACATTGCCTTGGTTCTAAGCCTGGCACAGATTTCTCATCTGTACAATGGGAATGATATAAATTGGGAGTTAGTGGTGTTTGTACCAGACAGGGCAGGTAAATTGCTTAGCACTCTGCCTGGCACATGGCTGGCCCTCAGTCAATGTTGGCTGGGATTGTTCTCATTGTTGGCCAAGGTCCTGGGTCTGTTTACTATAAAGCAGCAAATGATGCCATCCTTAAGAGGTGATCATCAAAGAGATTGGAACACAGTGTGGATCATTCTGAACTGATAGAAAAAATATCTCCAAGATACGTTGTTAAGTGAAAAACTCAAGGTGTAGAATGACATATCTATGACATGCTACCATTGCTACCACTTATTTAGATGCTAACATAACACATAAAATGTCTGGGGAGGGATTTTAAAATTGGTTATTGCCCCTGGAAAGTGGGATAGGGTGTCGGGATGGGAGGGAGACACTATACTCTGCTTCTGCAATTTTTTACACGTGTCTGTATGACCTTAAAATTTTTTTAAAGACAAAAACCCCAAACCAACCAAAATCGCCAACAAAGTTCTCTTACCTGCTTGATTTTTACAGATACTTGCATATATTCCATCTTCCATGGGTGTACTTCCATAGACTCTGGGTGCATTATCTTTCATAGCTTTTCCTATATAAATTGGTGCAGAATCATTAAATTAAACTACTTTAGCCACAGGAGAGGAATTCCCCAGAGTTCTGAAAGAATGACCTGCTCCAGTGGCCTAAACTGTTGTCTATTAAAGGAAAACCATAGACTCAGCAAGGAGTCCATAGCATCTGCTTCTCTAAGGCAGGAACCCTTCTGATTTATTTTCTTGGGTCTGCAAATAACATCCTTTGCCTATCAGATTATGCTTGAGATGGCCAGAGACACCTTTTCTTTCCTTCGCTGAAAAGAATAGGCTGTAAAAAGCTTTGTAATATCTGCGATAGTAAATTACCCAGCTGAGTTCCATTTAGTCCTGGCCAGTACTCAAGAATATTAATTCCACTTTTGTAAGACACTGCGCTTTTTGTAGGAAGAGGAGACATGTTTTTTAAAAGTATGAGATGCAATAAATTTAAGAGGATTGAAATCATATCAAGCATCCGTTCTGATCCCAACAGTATGAGACTAGAAATCACCTACAAGAAAAACACTGCAAAAAACACAAACACATGGAGGATAAACAATATGCTACTAAACAACCAATGAGTCACTGAAGAAATTAAAGAGGAAATTTAAAAAATACCTGGAGACAAATGAAAATGGAAGCACAACCATCCAAAATCTAAGGGACCCAGCAAAAGCAGTTCTAAGAGAGAAGTTTATTGCAATAAAATCCTAGCTCAGGAAACAAGAAAAAATCATAAATAAACAACCTAACTTTACACCTAAAGGAAATAGAAAAAGAAGAAAAGTTAGTAGAAGGAAAGAAATAATAAAGATCAGAGCAGGAATAAGTGAAATAGAGACTAAAAGAAAACAATAGAAAAGATTGATGAAACTAAGAACTGGTTCTATGAAAAGCCAAACAAAATTGATACACCTTTAGCTAGGTTCATCAAGAAAATAGAGAGCTCAAATAAATAAAATCAGAAATGAAAGAAGTTAAAACTGAAACCACAGAAATACAAAGGGCTGTAAGAGATTACTACAAACAGTTATACACCAATAAAATAGAAAACCTAGAAGAAAGGGATAAATTCCTAAAATGTACAATCTCCTAAGACTCAATCAGGAAGAAATAGAAAATATGAAGAGACCAATTACCATTCAATATGAAACTGAATCCGTAATCAAAAAACTCCCAACAAACAGAAGTCCCAGACAGATGGCTTCACAGGTGAATTATACAAAATGTTGAAGAGGAATGAACACTTTCAAACTCATTCTGTGAGGCCAGTATCACCCTGTTATCAAAACCAGACAAAGACACCAGAGCAAAAGAAAATTACAGGCCAGGGCTTCCCTGGTGGCGCAGTGGTTGAGAGTCCGCCTGCCGATGCAGGGGACGTGGGTTCATGCCCCGGTCCGGGAAGATCCCACGTGCCACGGAGTGGCTAGACCCGTGAGCCATGGCTGCTGAGCCTGTGTGTCCGGAGCCTGTGCTCCACAACGGGAGAGGCCACAACAGGGAGAGGCCCCGGACCCCAAAAAAAAAAAAAAAAAAAAAAAAATTACAGGCCAATATAACTGATGAACATAGATGCAAAAAGCTTCAACAAAATATTAGCAAACCAAATTCAACAATATATTGAAAGGATCATACACCATGATCAAGTGAGATTTATCCCAGAGATAGAAGGATGTTTCAATATCCGCAAATCGACGTGATACACCACATTAACAAATTGCATAACAATTATATGATCATCTCAATAGATGCAAAAAAGGTTTGGACAAAATTCAACATCAATTTATGGTAAAAACTGTCAATAACATGGGTATAGAGGGAATATAGCTCAACATAATAAAGACCATATATAACAAGCCCACGGCTAACATTATACTCAGTAATGAAAAGCTGATAGCATTTCCTCTAAGATCAGGAACAAGACAAGGATGCTTACTCTTGCCACTTTTATTGAAAATAGTATTGGTAGTCCTAGCCACAGCAATCAGACAAGAAGAAGAAAAAAAGGAATCCAAATTGGAAAGAAAAAAGTAAAACTGTCACTGTTTGCAGATGACATACTATATATAGAAAATCCTAAAGATGCCACCGAAGAATTAGAACTATTAGAACAAATAAATGAATTCAGTAAAATGGCAGGATACAAAATTAATATACAGAAATCAGTTGCATTTCTGTACACCAAAAATGAACTATCTGAAAGAGAAATTAAGAAAACAATCCTATTTGTAATTGCACCAAAAAGAATAAAATACCTAGGAATAAATCTAACCAAGGAGGTAAAAGACCTGTACTCAGAAAACTATAAGACACTGATGAAAGAAATTGAACACAAACAAATGGAAAGATATACCATGCTCACAGATTGGAAGAATTAATATTGTAAATGACTGTACTCCCCAAGGCAATCTACAGGTTCAGTGCAATCCTTGTCAAATTAGCAATGGGATTTTTCACAGAATTAGGACAGATAATTCTAACATTTGCATGGAAACACAAAAGACCTCAAATAGCCAAAACAACCCTGAGAAAGAACAAAGCTGGAGGTATCATGCTCTCTAATTTCAAACTGTACTACAGAGGTAATCTGAGTACAAACTGTACTCAGAGGTAATAATCAAAGCAGTATGGGAATGGCACAGAAAACAGACATATAGATCAATGAAACAGACTAGAGTGCCCAGAAATGAACCCATGCTTATATGGTCGATTAATTTACAACAAAGGAGGTAAGAATATACAATTGGGAACAACAACACAGTAAGCGGCATCGGGAAAACTGGACAGCCACATGCAAAAGAATCAACTGGCCTACTTTCTCACACCATCTACAAAAATAAACTCAAAATGGATTAAAGACCTAAATGTAAGATCTGAAACCGTAAAACACCCAGAAGAAAACATAGGTAGTATGCTCTTTGACATTGCTCTTAGCAATATTTTTTTGGCTCTGTCTCCTCAGGCAAGGGAAGCAAAAGCAAAAATAAACAAATGGGACTACATCAAACTTGCACAGTGAAGGAGATTATCAACAAACTAGAAAAGCAGCCTACTGAATGGGAGAAGATATTTGCAAATGATATGTCTGATAAGGGGTTAATATCCAAAATGTACAAAGAACTCATGCAACTCAACATCAAAAAACCAAACCCAATTTAAAAACAGGCAGGGACTTCCCTGGTGGTCCAGTGGGTAAGACTGTGCTCCCAATGCAGGGGGCCTGGGTTCTATCCCTGACGGGGAACTAGATCCTGCATGCATGCCGCAACTAAGAGTTTGCATGCCGCAACTAAGAGTTTGCCTGCCACAACTAAGAGCCTGCATGCTGCAACTAAAAGATCCCACATGCCGCAACTAAGACCTGGTGTGGCCAAAAACAAACAAATAAAATTTTTTTTTAATTACCCCATTAAAAAAAGTAAAAACAGGCAGAGGAACTGTATAGACATTTTCCAAAGAGGGCATACAGATGGCCAACAGGCACATGAAAAGATGCTCAACATCACTAAATCATCAGGGAAATGCAAATGAAAACCACAATGAGATATCACCTCACACCGGTCAGAATGGCTACCATCAAAAAGATAACTAACAAGTGTTGGCAAGGATGCAGAGTAAAGGAAACCCTCTTGCACTGTTGGTGGGAATGTAAATTGCTGCAGCCAATATGGAAAACAGTATGGAGGTTTCTCAAAAAATTAAAAATATGATCCAGCAATTCCACTTCTGGATATTTTTCTGAAGAAAACAAAACACTAATTTTAAAAGATATATGCACCCCTGTGTTCATTACAGCATTATTTACAAAAAACAGCCAAGCTATGGAAGCAATCTAAGTGTCTGTTGATAGATGAATGGATAAAGAAGATGTGGTATGTGGTACACACAGAGTGGAATATTACTCATCCATAATGAAGAATGAAATCTTGCCACTTGTGACAACATATATGCACCTAGAGGGTATTATGCTAAGTGAAATGAGTCAGACAGAGAAAGACAAATACTGTATGATTTCACTCATATGTGGAATCTGGAAAACAAAACAAATGAACAAACATAACAAAAAACAGACACATAGATACAAACAGGTGGTTGCCACAGAGGGGGGTGAACGAAATAAGTGAGAGAGATTAAGAAGTATAAACTTCAAGTTACAAAATAAATGTCAGGGACTTCCCTGGTGGTGCAGTGGTTAAGACTCTGTGCTTCCAATTCAGGGGGCCCAGGTTTGATCCCTGGTCAGGGAACTAGATCCCACATGCATGCCGCAACGACAAGTTTGCATGCCACAACTAATGAGCCCACGTGCCGCAACTAAGGAGCCCACCAGAACTAAGGAGTCCGCCTGCTGCAACTAAGACCCAGTGCAACCAAAATAAATAACTAAGTAAATATATACAAAATAAATGAGCCACAGGGATGAAATGTACAGCATGGGAAATATAGTCAATAATATTGTAATAGCTTTGTAATGAGACTTATCATGGTGGTCATTTTGTAATGTATAGAAATTCGAAGCACTCTGTTGTGCACCTGAAACTAACATAGTGTTGTAGGTTAATTATACTTCAATTTTAAAAATGCTTTACATTACAAAAAACAAAAATTTTTTAATGTATGAGATGTATACATTTTGACATCTGTTTTCAAGTTTCCTGTCAACTGGGTCCTGGATTTCTGTGAATTAGGACTTTAGAGATGCAAAAAGGCCAAGAGCCTAACATGTAACACTTAGTTCTCTCCCCAGGTCTGACAGTATCTCCCATGGCCCCATTTTACAGGTCAGAACGCTGAGGCTCAGGCAGGTGAAGGAGCCCACTCAATGCCCCGAAGCTCACTGGCAGGTGTCGGTCCTGAGACACAAACTGTCTTTTGTGTAAATCTCAATATTCCTCCGTAGTCGTGTGCCAAATGAAAAGGCCACTTTGAAATCTTAACTAGAGGTCATAAGACGTGAATTATGAAAAGTAGTAAATGAGGTTTAATGCAGCACTTAAGGTGGGCCAGAGAGAATGAGGCTCTTTTTGTCTTCATGTACTGAGCTTCCTCTGAGTGGCAGACCCAGTGAGGACAGTGAAAACTACAAAGCAAAGCTCTGGCAGTCTGAACCCACTACATCATTTGCAGGCTTCATGCAAAATGAAAATGCAGGGCCTCTTGTTTAAGAATTATTGAAATTTGTACACTCACATTCAAAGCAGCACTACTCACAATAGCCAAAAGGTGGAAGCAATCCAAGAGTTCATTGATGGGTGAATGGATAAACAAAGTGTTTGTGTGTGTGTGTATGTACACATATGTGCGTGTGTGTGTGTGTATATATATGTGTGTGTATATATAATGGAATATTATTCAGCTTTTAAAATGAAGGGAAAAAAATTTTTTTTGGCCGCACCGCATGGCTTGTGGGATCTTAGTTCCCTGACCACAGATCAAACCTGTCCTCCCTGAAGTGGAAGCGTGGAGTCTTAACCCCTGAACCTCCAGGGAAGTCCTGAAATGAAGGAAATTCTGACACGTATACAACAGCGATGAACCTTGAGGACATTGTGCTAAATGAAATAAGCCAGTTACAAAAGGACAAATACTGTATGATTCCATTTATATGCGATTTCTAAAGTAGTCAAATTCATAGAAAGTAGAATGGTGTTTGCCAGGGGCTGGGAGGAGAGAGAAATGAATGGGGAGTTATTGTTTAATGGGTACAGAGCTTCAGTTTTTGCAAGATGAAAAAGTGGATGGCTGGTGTTGGTTGCACAGGAATGTGAATGTACTTAATGCCACTGAATATATACTTAACAATGGCCAACAGGGTAAATTTTATTGTTGTGCATATTTTACCACAATTAAAAAATAATATTAAAAAAATTTTTTAATGTATTACGAATTTCAAGACAGTGACAGCAGAGCATTAAACTGTCTCCTTAGCACGGGGCCCTGTGTGACTGCACAGGTCACACACCCACAAGCAGTCTAAATAGGGAAGTCTTTAGCAGAGACAAGAGAACTGTGCTACGTGTGAACCATTCAGGAAGTCGTTCATTACCTTCTCCTTTTGCATCTTTTCCTTCTCTTCTCATTTTCTTCACATCCCATTTCTGATTCCCCTTTCCCTTCCTCCTTGCCCTCACCCTGCTGTCTGTATCCAAAACCCAGGGAAAACAATGGCAAAGCTCTTAAGGAACTTACTTGCTTTGTACTTTGGTAGCATCCACAATGCCAGAATTAGGATTATTATTATTAGCACCAGAAGCAGAAACCCCAGAAGCAGTAGCTGCAGGCAGAAAGGACAGCTCTCTCCTCCTGGAAGAAGACAGCATTCATTGGTCACTGCACAGCCTTCTTTTCCAATGATATTGAATTGTGAAATGTTCTGGAAATGGTGATCACGACTGTCTCCCAGGTTAACCAGTGTACCCTGAACCCTGAACCCCTGCCCTGCAAATTGAGGGTTCACTTGTTAGTGAGGTTCTTAAGGTTCATACCAAGTCCATCTTCCACAAGGGGTCATATACAAGGAAGAAAAAGCAGCACAGCATTTAACAGACAGATGTTGGCTACGTTGTTAGAGTCATAAGCCTGAGAACAGCCTGGCCATTTATTGGGCAAAGGCTTTAGTCATGTCGGCATGATTTATGTCACCCAAATACCTACCACTTATTGAGTGTTAATTATATGCAGTCATCGTGTTAAGCACTTTACATGCATTACCTTATTTTTCTCATTGGTATTACTCCCATTTTACAATTAAGTAGAGTAAGACTCAGAGAGGTTAAGTGACTTTCCTAAAGTCACCCAGCTAGTGAATTGATGGCTGTGATTTGTAGGCAAAAGCCTGACTCTGGAGCCTGACTCCAACAGGTTGCCTCACTTGTTAGAACTTACTGAACACCCAGGTGTGGGCTCTGATCTGAGGATGAGGCCACATGAGGTGTTCAATGCCCAATTGTGCCTGCTACCTTTGCTAACGTAATTTTTGTTCTATGCTCCTACCTCGACCAATGTCCCTTCATAAGGCCAGATTTAAGTCTAAAATTCTCAGACTTCTCAGAGTTCTGCACTGGAACATGACAGTATGGGGAGAGCCAGCCCCAGCCCTAGCCTGGCCCCCTTTCCACCCAGGCTCTGACCTGCACCCTAAGGAGCCTGACATGCACGTGGACATCCCCAGCCTGCATGGCCAAATGCCATCCCCCCACTCCCCACAAACAGCTCCCTTGGTGTGGGCCCAGGAATGTTCACATCCTTACCATGGTCCACCCTTGGGAGGATGAGCTGGGAATGAGACTTGTGCAGGCCCTGGAAGGTGGGTTCTGATCTGATTGGGTAGGGAATTCAGGTCTAGGAACCTAGAGTAAGGTATAGAAAAGTGAGGATATAGGGTCCAGGCGGACAAATCCCCATGGCTTATGGGAAGCTTATGGGAAGACACATGGCTAAGAAGCACCAGAGCAGTGCCTTCCAAAACACAAGGTTGGGACAGGAGCCATTCTTGCCTCAAGGAAAGGGTGGCACTGGAAGTCTAGACTCACCAAGCATTAAACAGCCAAGCAGGTGACAGGTGTTGGAAGTGAATTTTAAAAATGATTTTAAAAAAGCAAAAGAAAATCAAGAGACCCAGCAGCTTCAAGAAAGATGCAAATTCTAATGCGACTGCTTAGAACCTGAGCAGTGAAAAGTCAAGACAGGAAGCAGGGTCAAGTCAGGAAGTCTTACTATTGATACAAGGTCCCTTCCTGCACCAGTTTCCAGGCTTTTCTTTGGTTCCTTTATGGCAGAAAGCAACCCCATCAGAACATGTGGACCCTACAGAAGGAAAAGCATTTGGAAGCAGGTGGGCAAAGTGGGAAATGGGCGGGCAGAGGAGTAGCTGGTTTCTGGAAGTAAATCCAGATCCTGTTGAAAGAGTTCAGGTCGCCTTTACCTGTTGAGGGTATGGTGATGAGTTGACTGTATTTTGCATGGTCAGGCAATCTGTTTTTAGCTTCACACCTATACTCTTTCGCTTCTCCAGTGTTATTCTTGGTTAAGTTAAATTCAGCAGGCTCCCTTACATTCTTGGAGATAGCTGGTGATATGGCCGTGTTATTTTCAAAGAAAGTATAATTGATGGGCAGAGAGCCGTTGAATGAGATGCAGCGTAGCATTATGTATCTGTCTGATTTTGTTTGAACAACACTGATGTTCAGCACTGGTGCAGTCACTGGATCTAGAAAAATAAAAGTGCACGTTAAACAGATAAGCAGATTGGGTTCACTCACTCAGTCCACAAATATGGATGGGAGCCCTACTCTATTCCCAGCTATTAACCCAAAGATGGATGACACCCCTCTTGAGAAGTCAAGTTGCTCACATGAAGCTCCATCAGGAAGGATTAGTGGGTATGTGGTTAACCCCATGCCTCGTGGCATGAACCAGGTTCCGAGAAAGCCAGAGGGTGGAGGACGTCTCTGCTTTGAGGAATCAGAGCACAAACTTGCCTTTCATCAGAATTCGCAATTTGTTTGTGGCTGATAGTATAATTTTGTCAAAGATCCAGCTCCAAGTATGTAGTTGAGAGGTGCTTTTATTCCCAATCATTGTAAGATTGCAGTGGGTTTTTTTTTAATCAAAGAAATCTAAAAATATCATCTTTTCTAACTGTATTGTCATTTATAGAATTCGGCTGTACAATTGTCTTTCACTTCCTCCCGAAAGAAGGAAGTAACCCTGATAGAGTCAAGGGAAATTCTTGACCAGAAATGAGTGTGTCTGGTAAGCTCTGTAAGATCATACCCTATATAATAAGTTATATAGCTGGATAGTGGGAGAATCCAGCTATATAATTTATTATATAATTAATTAATAAAACAGTATTATAGGGAAAGGAAAGATAATTGTTGAGTATCCATCATGTGTCAGGGTCACTACCCACATTATCTTGTTTCACTTCACAACAGTACTACAAGGTGGACAGCATCATGCCCATTGCACAGTTGAGCCAACTGTGATTCAAAGGCCACAGAGCTAGTAAATGGCAGAGCCAGGACCAACTCCCAAGCATATGCGTTTGTTTGTTTTTTTTTGTTTTTTTTTGTTTTTTTTTGTGGTACGCGGGCCTCTCACTGTTGTGGCCTCTCCTGTTGCGGAGCACAGGCTCCGGATGCGCAGGCTCAGCGGCCATGGCTCACAGGCCCAGCCGCTCTGCAGCATGTGGGATCTTCCCGGACTGGGGCACGAACCCGTGTCCCCTGCATTGGCAGGCGGACTCTCAACCACTGCGCCACCAGGGAAGCCCATGCGTTTGTTTTTAATAACATTGTGCCAATTTAACAATTTGGCGCAGAATCAATGAAATATGTTTCATTGTTTAAGTCAAATCAAAGAAAATAATTTAGAGTCTTGCTCCATCCCTCCCCTGAGCAGGAATCCCTGTGGCAGCATCCTTGACAGAATGGCACCCAGTGATGGTGGCCTCAAAGAGCAACTTTGTTTGGGAATAGCATCAATAGGATGTTTTTACTATGGAACTGAAATCTACCTCCTGTAATTTTCAGGAAGGAGGAATTGAAACATTCATGAAGAAGCAGAGAGCATGGACTTCTCTCTGAGATAAGATGATTCAAACTAGAAGTACACTTCCCTGAGAGTTTGTAAAAGGACTGGTAACGTGTATCACAGCATCACAGTGATCAAGGGAAGGGAGTGGTGACTCTTCAATAAGTTAGTTATATTTTTTAAATTAAAGGAGTACTTTAATGGGACTTCCCTGGTGGTGCATTGGTTAAGAATCTGCCTGCCAATGCAGGGGACAAGGGTTCAAGCCCTGGTCCAGGAAGATCCCACATTACGTGGAGCAACTAAGCCCGTGTGCCACAACTACTGAGCCTGTGCTCTAGAGCCCACAAGCCACAACTACTGAGCCCGCGTGCCACAACTACTGAAGCCCGCATGCCACAACTACTGAAGCCTGTGCACTCTAGGGCCAGCGTGCTGCAACTACTGAAGCCCACATGCCTAGAGCCCGTGCTCTGCAACGAGAAGCCACAGCAATGAGAAGCCTGCACGCCGCAGCAAAGACCCAGTGCAGCCAAAAATCAATCAGTCAATCAATCAAGGGGTCCTTTAAGGCTCATTCAGTTGCCACCTTCCCCAGAAAACTTTTCCTTAGTCCTCCAGGCGGAACTTCTCCCTCTTCCTCTGCTTCCTGCAGCACTTGATCCCATCCTCTTAATACTTTTCTACCTCTTATTACATGATCCACTTGGATGTCTCCTGGTCAGCTCAAACATAACCTGTTTGAAACTGAACTCTAGTTAATCTGCTAGTTAATGAATGAATCAATTGGTAGGTAGATAAACATATGTTAAAATCCTATTTTAAAATGTTTTTATTCATTCAATCATTCATTTATTTTCATTGTGCTAAGAACAGTTAACATGAGATCTACCTTCTTAACAAATGTTTAAGTGCACAGTACAGCACTGTTAACTATAGTCACAGTGTTGTACAGCAGGATCTCCAGAACGTACTCATCTTGCATAACCAAAACTTTATACCCATTGAACAACAACTTCCATTTTTGCCCATCTCAGTAAATGACACCACTCCTCGTCAGCTGATCACACTTGACATCTGGAAGTCATTCTTGATTCCTTCCTCACCTTTATTACCTGTGATTCTAAATCTAATCAATCAGCAAGTCCTGTTGTTTCCTTCTCCAAAATATATTTTGAATCCATCCACTTCTCTCCATCTCCATCATTGTTTGTCTCCTGGATGACGGCAGAAGCCTCCCAACCGATCCCCAACCTCTACCCTTGCCCTGCCCCACCCAGGATGAATTAACATTGAAGGTAATAAGTTGGGCCTGATAAATAGGCCTGACTTGGCTCCCCCTCCCTTTCCAGTCTCACCTGGGGTCACACTCCCCTCATCAGACCTCCAGCCATACCAGTGTCCTATTAGGTCCTTCCCAACAGCCAAGTTCTTTCTTAAGTTGGAGCCCCCGGCACAGGTTATTGTCCCTTGACTAGAGCCTTTTTTCCCTGTCTCTTCACATAGCTAACCCCTTCTCATCCTTCAGGGCTCTTCTTAAATGCCATCCCTGTAGAAAGGCCTTCCCTAATTACCCTGTCTAAGGAGGTCACTCCCCCATCCCCGAACTTTCTCCATCACTGTGCCAGTTTGTGATTATGAATTTATTTGGGTACTTAGGTTTTATGCTTCCCCAAATAGACTGTAAGCTCCACCAAGGCAGGAACTAATATATATCCAGGGCTCGGCACATCGGGGATATCATTAAATATTTGATGAGTGAATCAGTGATTCATGAATTTGTGTTCACGGCTCACATCCCTTACTGGGTTGGGGATAAGATCATGTCTTAGGCATCATCGAAACCCTGGCAGCATCCAACACAATTACTTGCATGGGGTCGGCATTCAGTAGGTATTTACTAATCTGACCTAAATGAAGATGATGCAGGTTTTTATAATCTATTAAAGAAGTTCTACAGGATGGTATGATTACTGTAACACATTGCAAGAAACGTGTGCATTTGCTGTGAAGGCAGGATGTGGGAAGATTGTATACATATCTGTGGGATGGAAGCTCAGGAAATGAAGACTTGGGGTTTTTTTAATCAATTGATTTAAGGCTTCAGCCTTGCACAGGAAGCTAGTGGTACACAGGTTCCCTGGTGCCTATTCTGTTGCTCTTTCTGCAAAACCAGGCTGCCCAGGCCAGCAGGAATCTGACCACCAGAGAATATTATCAGCCAGGGTACTGCCCTCACATCATCCATTACAACCCAGACCATGTTTGCATGGTCTTCTTCTTTTTACATTTCATTTACAATTAACGGCTTCCATTGAGTTTGTGTTCAAATTTGTCCTAAGATGGTTGGCTCTAATCCAGAGCCCACGGCATCCCTTCAAGTCTTACGCAGAAATTTGCATCTGTAACATGTCTCAGGGAAAGTATCCACTGCTATCATTAGATTGTTAAAATGGTTATAACCTAAAAAGCTGAGAACCGTTGACCTAGAGCAGAGGCGTCCAATGGAACTTTCTGTGATGATGGAAATGTTCTGTGTCTGTGTTGTCTAATACAGCAGCCACCCCACATCTGTGGCTCTTGAGCACTTGAAATGTGACTAATGAGACTGAGGAAATGAATTTTTAAATTTCAAGTAATTTTAATTAACTTGAATTTAAACTTAAATAAAACATGTGGCTAGTGGCTACCATACTGGAGAGCACAGACCCAGAGAATCACTCAAAGATTCAATCAGTAAGTCAGGGCTCCTCTGTCTGGAAGACTCCAGGTACATGTATTACCTGGAAACACTCTCTCCCTCTCCCAGGAGTCCACTATCAAGGTCACCTTCATGGATGAGGCCATTAATGCTAGGTTGTGAAAGGCTTGGGGTGGGAAGATGGGAGAGAAAAATATAAAAGTAATAAAATGTGGCTGGGGAGTTCCCTGGTAGCCTAGTGGTTAGGATACCGGGCTTTCACTGCCGTGGCCCAGGTTCAGTCCCTGGTCGGGGAACTGAGATCCTGCGATATATCCTGCGTGTCGTGGCCAAAAAAATGTGGTTGGGCAGGAAGAGTGCAGGCTGATGACCATCGCAAAGGGAAGAAGGTGAGAAAAGCCTGGGGCTCTGGAGACCCTTGCCACAGGGTCCCACATTGATTCTAAGACTTCTTATTTGAATTCTAAGAGAAAAAGTCTTTTTTTACCTACACAATGAGAGTCCTAGAGTAAAGCATCTAGAAAAGATCTCAACAACTTTTCAAATTGTTGATATAATACTTTTTGCCTTGGGCCATCAGCATATTATTATCTGAAACAGCCAAAAGTATTTGGAGAGAAAGTGAAATGGAATTATTAAGAAAAAAGATCTCAGTGACATACTTGCCAGGCTCTTGAGCAGAACAGAGAACCCATCCTAGAACAGGAAAGAATGCCTCCAAATCACAGGGCCGCCGAGTAACAAGCACTCTACTTACCGACAAATGTGAAGTTGAACTCATGACTGTATTTTGAACAGTTAGAAACTTGGGCTTTGCATTTGTAGGGGCCCAAGTCACGGGCTTCTGAGATTGTTAAGTTAAAAGTCATGGGTCCATTCTGGATGCTCAGGCATTTCTCACCCCGAAACAAAAAATAGGTGATCTGCAGTGATTTGTTCTGGTTGAAACAAGATAGAGATACATTCTGACCCCTCATGACTGCATCCGTTTGTGAGTTCAAATTTGGAGAAGGGAATTCTGGAAAGCAAAATAACACAAGAGAAAGTCCTTGTTACCGTCCATCAATAATAACTCAGTGGTTGTCTACCCACATTTCGTGGGTCAAGGTGGTGGAGACCCTCTGTTCCTGGTGAACTTTCTAAAGGTAGGGGACATTTCTTGCCTGCACAGCCAGGCTGGACAGTGTGTGAGGAAACCTCAGTGCCTACAGAGGCCTCTCCCAGTGAGAGACGGGTAGCCTTACCAAGCTGTTTTGTGCTGGTTAGGAAGTGACTGGTCACCAGTACCAGACAAGGCCACTCTGTGACCATATTAGAGCAAAACAAAGACAAGATGACTCCATAATCATGTCTGAACACAGATGAAGACACGAACATGGTCCAAAACACAAAAATGGCCAAGTATCCCTCTAAACAATATGATTGACTGCTGTTTCTTTATCAGTCAGAGCTTTTGCCTTGCACTGTTTTTCTTATCTTTTAGATAAGAATTATTAAGATTCCCAACCATATCATTATTTCCACTTCCTAAAAGAATCCAATTCAGAGTAAAGCCTGCTGCCTTGAATCTTCCTCCAAGTAACCTAACACAAATCTTACTGTAAGATGCCCTCTTGCTTACTCCATGGTATGTATTTTCTCTTAAAACTCAACTTGGTTCAACTACATATGGGTCCCTGGTGATCTTTGGCTGGAGGACGTTAATAGTTTGTACCTCTAAAAGATAAGGACTCTGGTAAAAATTCCAATACCATTATCTCACCTAAAAATTAACAATATTTAAAAAATATCATCAGATATCTAGTTAGTGTTCTAATTCCCCCAATTGTCTGACTTTTCTTTTAGAATCCATAATGGTCTATTGTAGTTAGTTGCTATGTTTCTTATGACTAATTCCAATACCATTATCTCACCTAAAAATTAACAATATTTAAAAAATATCATCAGATATCTAGTTAGTGTTCTAATTCCCCCAATTGTCTGACTTTTCTTTTAGAATCCATAATGGTCTATTGTAGTTAGTTGCTATGTTTCTTATGACTTTTTTAATCTGTAGACCTTTCTGTCTCTTTTCTTTCCCCCTGCACTTTGTTTTTGTTTTTTTTTAAATAAATTTATTTATTTTATTTATTTTATTTTTGGCTGCATTGGGTCTTTGTTGCTGCGTGCAGGCTTTCTCTAGTTGCCGTGAGCAGGGCTACTCTTCGTTGTGTTGCACGGGCTTCTCATTGTGGTGGCTTCTCTTGTGGAGCATGGGCTCTAGGCGCACGGGCTTCAGTAGTTGTGGTGCACGGGCCTAGCTGCTCCACGGCATGTGGGAACTTCCCGGACCAGGGCTCCAACCTGTGTCCCCTGCATTGGCAGGCAGATTCTTAACCACTGCACCACCAGGAAAGCCCTTCATTTGTTGAAGATAGCAAGTTGTTTGCTCTGAAGTGTTTTCCATGGTCTGGATTTCATTAATTACATTCCCATGCTCTCCTTTCCATATTCTTCTGTCTCCTGTCAGAGGCTTGATGAAATTCAGATTAGCTTTTATTTAGCAAGAATGCAGCATAGGGGGTAGGGTGTACTTCTATTAGGAGACACAGAATGTCTGGCTATCTCTCTTTTTGTTTGTTAGCAGACTTTGACGATAATTACCCAGAAAGCATTATTTCGTTAGAGGTTGCAAAATGGTGATGTACCAATTCTATTGTTCCTTCTTCATTTGTCATCCGTAATTATCTGAAGAGAAACACCCTTGTCAACTCTTTGGCTACACTGAGGTACAGTTTGCATAGAAAAGGGAGGATAGGGGACCCTGGTGGTCCAGTGGTTAAGACTCTGTGCTTCCAGTGCAGGGGGTGCGGGTTCGATTCCTGGTCAGGGAACTAAGATCCCACATCCCATGGCCAAAAAGAAGAAAAAAGAAAAGGGAGAATAAATACTTGGTTCTCTTCTGTTACTGACCAATTTTGAAAATAATGAGTTGGTTTCCTAGCATCTTGTAACAGTGAGGTATTTCCCTTTATTGTTATTATTTTTTGTTTAAGAATCATTATGAACTCATAGATTTAAATGTATTTGATGTGTCTCAACCCACAACCCATTACAATTATTTTATTCTTATTGTCTCTTTTTTTTGGCTATAGGGAGCATCTGCAAACTGCCTTCTGCCTTCACAGCTGTGAACTGCTCCATGCCTCGTTGAACCAATTTCTCAGCCCTGAGAATAGGTAAGTTTTGTTAAGCAGCTGTGTCTCATTTTAGGAGGCGGTGTTGGGGGTGGGGTCCTGCCAAAGTGAGGCCTTTGTAAGGGCAAAGCCATCAGCGTTTAATGGGAGGTACTTCTGTAGAAACAAAGGAAAAGCCAACTGTCCAGCCTGGTCTGAATCCAGAGGGTGGTCAGCCCTCTGGGGGGACTTCCAGGAGGGTGGTCTCCGTGCCTCCCTGTATGGGGGAGGGGGAAGGGCAGGTGGTGGTAGTTCTGCTGCTTTTCCTGGGCCGCAGTTGGAATGTGGCCGTGGCGTTGGGTAAACTCTGAGCAACCCCCACCCCGGCATTACCGAGGTTGTCCACATGTAATCTGTGTGATTTCTCTGAAGTTTATACTAAGTTGTCAAGCTTCAGCTTGTAGGGAAGTTTTCATTTTTCGTGATTCCAAGTCAGAAGGGTAGGAGAGAAATTGGAAATGTTAACTGCTGACAGCGAGACGTGGCCATTTAACACCCCACAGGGTGTGCTGTACTTTTACTGAAACAGAGCTCTCTCCCTACAATCACCCCCGTTCTTTTTTTTTTTTTTTTCCATACGTGGGCCTCTCACTGTTGTGGCCTCTCCCGTTGCAGAGCACAGGCTCCAGACTCGCAGGCTTAGCGGCCATGGCTCACAGGCCCAGTCGCTCTGCGGCATGTGGGATCTTCCCAGACTGGGGCACAAACCCGTGTCCCCTGCATCGGCAGGCGGACTCTCAACCACTGTGCCACCAGGGAAGCCCACCCCCATTCTTAACAGAGATAATTGAAGATTAATTAGTTTGAAAACTCAGTCTGGTCTCATTAAACTTGGCCTGATTATTGATATCAGTGCAGCAAGAGTAGATTGAACATGTAGGTCTTTTAAGTCTGCTTTGCTGGAATTCCAGATTAGACTTTTAATAGCCTCTTGAGGCTAAGAAGCCAAGTCAGCAACTTGTCACCAGACTGTACCTTCAGTACCCATGAATTTGGGTGAATTCCTCTCTTCTTGATGTCCCTAAGACATCCTGAGACCCCTGGACCTGCTAAGAAGTGACCTTTACTCACTTGTGAGTTAAAAAAAAAAAGAGGAATATAGGGAAATGTTTTTTATATCACCTGCTTGGAAAAAGTCTTCCAAGTAAGACACACGAAATAGGAGCCATAAAGAAAAGACTGAAAAAAATAACTATCCTAAAATTTTTAACTCCTCTATGGCAAAATTAAGAGATGTGAAAGGCTAGAAAAAAATACTTAAAGCATAAATGAAAGCATAGTATTCTTTTTATATACATAAACCAACAGCAAATTAACAAGAAAAAGATAATCAAATAAATGGGCAAATAATCTGAATATGTAATTCCCCAAAGAAGAAATAGTGCTGGGGCTGAGGGATGGCTTGGGTGGAGGAGGGGTTTAGACCCCTCAAAAATGCCAAAACCTCCCTCCTTCTCTTTGATCTGGACAATTAATATTTTCTCAGCCTTATGTAAGCTCAGCTTCAAGATGAGACCTTGCCTCTCTTTTCAACCAGATAGCCATCCCTAAATGTCCTTTATATGGGTGTACTATAGCTTTCACAGTCAACAGACATGAAAAAGAAGCTCAACTTTATGAGTGATGAGGCAACCACGAATTAAAACAACATGGAGGGCTTCCCTGGTAGCGCAGCGGTTAAGAATCTGCCTGCCAGTGCAAAGGACATGGGTTCGAGCCCTGGCCCAGGAATATCCCACATGCTGTGGAGCAACTAAGCCCATGCACCACAACTACTGAGCCTGCGCTCTAGAGCCTGCAAGCCGCAACTACTGAGCCCATGTGCCACAACTACTGAAGCCCACACCCCTAGAGCCCGTGCTCCACAAGAGAAGCCATGACAATGAGAAGCCCACACACCTCAAGGAAGAGTAGCCCCCGCTCACCGCAACTAGAGAAAGCTCACGCACAGCAACGAAGGCCCAACACAGCCAAAAATAAATTAATCAATTTTTAAAAAAACAACATGGAGGTATTATTTTGTACTCATCAGAGTGACACATTAAAAAACTGACTGTATCCACTGTTTGAGAGGGTGGGAAACTCACACTTACCCATGTGCGTGGTCAGTGTTGGTGACCATGCACCAGTTCAGTGTGTGGGGAGGGCAACTTAGCAGTATCTGTAACAATTCAAATGGACATGCCCTTGGACCCAGACTTTTCACTTCTAGGATTTTATCCTACATGAGCTCTCACACACTCATGTGTCCACAAAGCATGTTGTGTACAATGTTTACTGCAGTATTGTTTCTATTACAAAGAAAAAAATGGAACAACCAGTAAGGGGGTGATGGTTCAATGAATTAGGCCGTGGGACTTCCCTGGTGGCGCAGTGGCTAAGACTCCGCACTCCCAGTGCAGGGCGTCTGGGTTCGATTCCTGCTCAGGGAACTAGATCACATGCATGCCACAACTAACAGTTCGCATGCCACAACTGAGGAGCCCGCAAGCTGCAACTAAGACCTGGCACAACCTAATTAATTAATTACTTTAAAAGATATTAAAAATTATTTTTAAAAAATGAATTATGGCTGAGTCCTATTATGAATTGCCATGCAGCTGTTGAAAAGAAAGGAACTAAATCTAAATGTTCCTCTTAGAAAGATGTCTGGGATATATTGTTAATTTTAAAAAGGACAGGTCACAGAAGAGTTTGTTTACTAAGATATTGAAACAAAAAGGACTGTTAATGGTGGTTGCTTCTGGAAGTGGAGAGGGGAGAGGGATTGAGGGGATATAACAGAACTTTCACATTTTATAGTATAGTAACAACAACGACCTGAGCTAGCATTTGTTGATGGTTCCTCATACACTCGGCTCTGTGCTGAGGCACATGGCTTGTCTCAGTCCTCACAACAACCCTCCCAGGGAAGTGCTTTTATTTTCCCCACTTCACAGAGGATAGAAATTAAGCTTTAAGTGGTTTCCTCGTGTGCGCAGGCTGCCAGCTGGAAAACGGTAGAACCAGGATTAGGACCACAACAGCCTAGCTCTATGGTGATAAACTGCCTCCCAGGATATATTTTTAGTGTTGCTTGACTTATCTTACAACAATTATGTGTTGATTTTTCTAATTAAAAAACAACAACAGAGAAAGAAGGAACCATTTCATTGTAAAAAATAAAACTCAATATTTTGTCTCTGAGTCTCAGGAAAGATTCTCCAACTCCCTTGCTAAAATCACTTCATTTTAAACAGTAGGTCATGGAAACGACTCTCCCTTTGGTTGTTCATCAGAAAGCACTGAAAAGCCTGCTCACGAATGTGCATGATTTAAAGCTGACAGTCTCACCGTTTCGGTGAAAACAGTTTTAGTACAAGAGAGAAGTAAATGAAACTTACCATTTGTTTTTCTCATTCTTTCACAATCCAGTGCAGCCTTCTGAACTGAAAGAGAGAAAAGGAACATGAGAAAACTCTTTTTCCACATGTTGTTTTGGTTTGGAGATTCAAGCTTCAAAATGGTAAGTGAGCCTTATACTTGACAGCAGGAAAAATGCCCCCAAAGAACAGTCTGTTCAAATGGCCCCCATGTTCTCCTAAATGAAATCGGGGAGGAGGGCAAAGGAGGCGTGGTGGCCTCCGGGGTTGGTGAGTCACATAGAGAACTTCCTCCTTTTTTTTTTTTTTTTTTTTTTTTTTTTTTTTTTTTTTTTTTTGCGGTACGCGGGCCCCTCACTGTTGTGGCTTCTCCTGTTGCAGAGCACAGGCTCTGGACGCGCAGGCTCAGTGGCCATGGCTTACGGGCCCAGCCGCTCCGCGGCATGTGGGATCCTCCCGGACCGGGGCACGAACCCGCGTCCCCTGCATCCGCAGGCGGACTCTCAACCACTGCGCCACCAGGGAAGCCCAAGAACTGTGTCCTTTTTGACCAAGTTAAAGAAATGGGAGTTGCATGGACAAGCCTGACATAAGATGACTGGTTGATGTGACCCTGTGCTCCTCTGTGAGCTCTTGTAGGCAGAGAGAGATGTGACAGGTTGCCTCTAATTCAGGCTGGCAGGGAAGCTGGACAGTGGGAAAAAGAAAAAGTATTGTCTTTATGCAAACCCACCCAATCGTCTCTTTCTAGATATGGCCTGTGTCAAAAGGAATTTAGTGGCAATTTGGTTTAGTCTTGGGAAGCAATATTGACTGTGTAGAGAGACACAGGGAAACATGGCAGCAGAAATGCCTGATTGTGTTAAATGCTGGCTTCTAGGTCCCACTCCAGGCTTACTGGGGATGAAACCTGGGACTCTGAATTTTCACAAGGGCCCAAGCAGTCTCAGAGTCTCTAAATTACAACCCTGAAGTAGCTAGTGATTCACTTCTCTGCAGTCCAGAATTCTCCTGACTCTGCGAAGTGGATGCAGAAGTGGATGCATGTTTTTGCTGTCGCCAGCCTGCAGTGGGGAGTGGGAAGGGGTGAGGGGTTCCCGAGTGGTGGGAGCTGTAATCAGGCTGGGCCACTTGGGTTACTGGTTCTTTTCTTTTTTCTTAAATTATTTTAAATTTTTTTGACCACTGTGCACGGCTTGTGGGATCTTTGTTCCCCTGAACCCGGGCCTCCGCAGTGAAAGTGAGGAATCCTAACCACTGGACCACCAGGGAATCCTGGGTTACTGGTTCTTGTTGCCACTGAGGGTTGGCCCTGTAGGTCTGTTGCTTTCCTGTGGACAGGTGCCCTCTCTGTGGGAGACACAGAGGTGCAGGTTCTTTCAGATCATCCAACCTCCAGTATTAACTCACTCCCAGTGCTCCTTTCTCGGGCTCCCCAGGTCCAGCCCGTGGTGGTCAGTCATTCCCAACCTCACACCTGGCCACTACTGGGGGTCTGAGCAGAGCCAGGACCTGCTGCGGTCACCCCCACTTCCTCCCTGTCTGGCTGCCACTGTCTGGAAGCAAATCATCTTATTTAGCCTTCAGTTCATAAAAGGCCTTTATTTCCTTCTGACAGTAAAAGTTACTTCTCAGGCACCCACTCTTCTAACAAAGATGGCACTCAGTGCTTGACGGTGACTTCATACGGTGATATTGGTGGCAATTTCTTTCACTAAAGAACCCCACAAGTTTAATCTCTGGTGGGATGACCCTTAACACCAGAATTTCTGCTAAAGGGAATCAGAGGTTTCGTTTTTGACATTTCCCAGGAGTATCTCATCCATCCTCGCCTGAGCAGAGGGTGGAGCTGGGTTCCCGAGAACTGTCATGCCCAGAAGATGGGGGGGTCTTTAGAAAAGCTGACATGTCTGGGGCATTTCTGTGTGTGGAACTTTCAGCTGGGGCAGGAAGCCTGCAGACCACAGCTTGGATACAAAGACAGCAAAGGAAACTACTAACAGCTACTTAGAGCTGTTAGTAAACGTTGCTAGGAGTACCTTAGCAAGGCCCCAGAAAAGGATCATAGTCTGTCAAAGATTACACAACAAATCAGCTATGAAGTCTCAAGTGGAAAAAGAAAAAGTTCATCCACGGACCTGGCACATTCCTTAGGGCCCAAATCATGGCAAATGCACATTGTTATGGTCTACAATAATTCACCATATTGATAAGCTTGATAACAATAAATATAGTCAAACAAACAGTAAAGTTAGGCTTTCTGTTGTCTAAGAGCTTTACACTGATAATCTCATTTAATCCTTATGAAACCTCTATGAAGTGTGCAGAGATAATATTAAATATGTCACAACCAGTAGAGTAATATATAAGTCAACGCATGGATCAGATATTTAAAAATATATTCCACTACCCCTAGTTTATCTCTAAATAAACTAAGTTATGTTATAAAACTACTCAACAAGTGATATAAATTTTTGAGCAAATCTTTAATAAATTATTCTCATAATTTCCAAAATTTTGTTGATTTTTAGAAATAGTTGGTATGGTGTTTTGAAACAGGGCTCACGTTCCAGGATGATTGGATATGAGGAACTGCCTTGAATTTTTCCAGTGAATTCCTTGAAACTGGTGGCCATTGGATAATGTGTAATCTCAATAAATTGAGAATTTTTCTTCACACCAGTTGTTCCTGGTGTTAAATCCTCAACTCCTGATGAACAAAAACAATGATAAAATTTTTAAATATTCCAGCCCTTATAATGTTGTTTGAAATTTTTCTATATCCAAAAGTTCTGTTATCTTATATTTCTAAATCACAAAAAATCATTTAATCCATTGGTTTAATTTCATTTATCCTTCCACAGAACTTTACAAATACCATTTAGTAGTGTCAAGATTCTATAAATTTAAATGACTTTAGAATTCATTTATTTTCACTTTTGCCCTCAAATAACAAATGTATTTTTTTTTTTTTTTTTTGCTGTACGCGGGCCTCTCACTGCTGTGGCCTCTCCCGTTGCGGAGCACAGGCTCCGGACGCGCAGGCTCAGCG